AGTTTAGAAGGGAAGATAAGTGATAGTCTTTTCCCGATGTTTAGAGAGAAGTATATCTCTTATAACCTAAAACAGTAATCTTCATTGTGATAGTAGATTTTTAATTGCCGAGGCTATGGATGTAGCCCTATGGGGTGAACGACATAAATTGTGTGTTGTTATGGTGTGATTTTTAAGTTTAATTTATTTCTTGCACTTGATTTATAGTTGTATTCATTTACTTCGCATTTAGTTAATCATGTACATGCTCTTGGGTGGGATCCTGGTATTTGGGATTCCCAGTTTCGCAAGTTAGGGGTTCACGAGAACCCTACAAATAGCTTTTTAATAAAAGGGAAAAAGATTGAGTCCTAAAGGTATTTATAAACTTGAGAGAAAATTGTTATTTATTAATGCACTGATTTTTAAATACCCATATACCTTGACTCATTTTTTCAATTATTTAGAATCCTTGATTACCTATGATCATGAACTATAGGAAATGTCATAGAAATGCCATCTTAGTAGGCCTCATTGACATGTGCTGTGTGGATTAGATAACTTGGTTTATATGGGTATACTACCAATAAAAGCTGGTGTGGTTGAACATTTGTAGTTCAGAAAGGTTTTTGCATATTGTGAAACCAAATGTGCATTGGGTTACTATTTGGTATGAGATTTGTTATACTACCTCGTGACACATGCATGAGAATGCTGATGTAATATTTCTTATATCTTATGTTTGAAGTGAGAGTTGTTAACAATCCCACGATTATCTTTTGTTGCTTAGATATTCAGATATACATGTATCATAATATGAAAGATTCAGATGAACTTAATATTGTAGTGGGAGCACCTGCTTGTGTATGACGAGTCAGTTGGAACAACATACTATTGTTCACCATGGAACCTGAATGTGTGGTTCTAGTTGTATATAAGGGAGCAACTTAATTGAAAAATCGTTTTAAGCCCTTGAAGATACGACAACATATAATGATGGTACGTAATGATCTTTTGCAATAACAGGTCCATGATTCACGATGCGACATGAAAGGTGGTCTACGACTACGTTCGGGATGAGATCCGAGCAGCAAAGAGAGAGAGTCACTGCCTCCATAAATCCTTTATGAAATGATTGATGGTGAAAGCCATGATTAATGTAATAAGAGAGAATAAGTAAAAATGCTTGAGAGAGAGAATGTAATTGGGGGAATGAGAATATGAGGAAGAGAGATTGTAATGCTTTCAAAAGCCAAGTGGAGATGTTGGGTTTATGTGGCCTTTAAAGGCATTATGAGAGCTTGTATGAGCATTTTATATAGTGAAACATAAACTCAATGGGAGTATGGTCCTTGTGGGGACCATACGAGACAAATGTGTTTTGTCGATACTCATACGAGGCTCTACATATTAGGCCAACAGAGTTTTTTTAAAAAACCTAAAATATCTAAGCATAGGGATTTACCGAGAAGGGTTTAGTGGGTTAACCCTTGATAAGTTCAGAATATGCCTAGATGAGAGCCGATGGACTGTGTGGCATGTGATGAATAGCCTTTAGAGATAGGGCTATAAACCTCATTATATTATCACACAACACATGCATAGATAGCCGTATTGAGATTTACTAATGAAGGTGAAGTGTGTGCATGTACTAGGGATTACCCATATACACCATAGAGTCATGGTTGCATTATGGTCAAGAGGACCATGATTTTTTTGTCTCTAGGGGCGAACATGAAATCCATAAATTGATATTGTATCCCCTAGTCTATTGACTGATTTTGGTGGTATAATCATGAGCCCCTGTAATAGTTTATGGGTCATGGGAATTGCTAGGTCAGTTTGAGAAAGCTAGGTAGATCGTTGTCTATAGTTGAAGGTGGAGTTCTCCCGTATGTTTATAAATACCTAGATCTGATTCCCATCAAAATTAATTGGTTTTAATTAATTTTATGTTATATAATTTTTAGAATGTTTATTTGATTTTTTGTGAATCTTCTGATATTTTATTTTTGTCATTGGATTGATAAATTAAGAGAAATTAATTTTTCAAAAATATGAGATTTAAAAATTCTAAAATCAAAATAAAATATTTTCTAAAATTATGTGGGACCCTCTATAAATGTGGGAGCCCAATTTGTCACATGTGGGAATTGGGTGGGCCCACGTGTGGCCACCAAAGGGTGGCATGCCCCACCGATAGGGATAAAACTTGATCACCAAGTTTAGGTGATAATTATCCTTTATAGGTTGGTTTTTCTTTTTAGGATAAAGCCAATTTGCATGATAGATTTAAATATTTGAAATATTTAGTAAATCTTTTGAATTTTTGAAATATTTAGTAAATCTTTGAATCAAGATTGCTTGATCCAATAATATTGAATGGATATACTAAAATAAAAATAAAAGACATATTTTGCTTATTTAAAGATTTGATATGAATAGATTTAAGAAATGGATGATAAGGCTCTAACACATCCCTTTGAATCTTGATGGTGGATCAAAAAGATAAATGACTCACATCTCTCACTCCACAAGTCTCTCTAGATTGACCGTTAAGATTTGACCCAATGAATTGAGACTGACCCCAAGGCATGTAAAATCTATAAAATGAGACTCTCCCACCTCATAAAATCTCTACAACTATGCTCTCTTCTCTCTCTAAGCGAATATCTCTCTCTCTAAGATTTATCCGTAAGGTGGCACACACCACCCAAGACTTCAATCTCTCTCTCTCTCACTCACTCTCTCTCTCTCTCTCTCCCTCTCGCTCTCTCCAAGTTTTAAGTAGCGGCACGCCCTAACCACCTCTCTCTCCCTCTCTCTCTCTCTCGAGTTTACAAGAAAGGGCACACCCCAGCCAGCATCTCTCTCTCTTGCTTTCTTGTTGGCACTCCCAATGTTAGGGTGGTGGTGGTGTTGATATTGGGTAGCAAAGGGGAGGATCCCTTTGTTAGTAGATCTATATTTCTCTTTTTGATTTTTATCTCTAATCTCTCTAAAGATCAAGCTAAGAGTTTGAGTAAAGATTAAGGCCTTAAAGCCCTTGGAAAAATCAAGCCAAGGGGTTTGAGTAAAAACTAAGGCCTTAAGGCCCTTGGTTCTAGATTGAGATTCATATGCCATTGAGAAAATTTTATTATAAGTAGGAGAATCAATCTCTCAATCATAGATGCCGAGCACCATCGGAAAGAGGAGACTCGACTTGGGGTGTATTAAGCCCGGTTGAGGTAATCCTCGGCAATTTTATTTCTTTAAATCTTTATTTGTTATTTGCTCTTCTCTTCCTATAAAACAATAAGTTTTGGTTTGATTGTTGAATAATTAGTTGTATTTAAAGAGGTAGCAATTGAGAACCGGTTTTTATTTATTTCAAGAGTGGTTTGTTTGTAGTTGGACATTGTAAATGATATTTACCGGTGTAGGAATGAATACTTTTTTAAATATATACACCATGCTTGGTCACATAATCAAACTTTCATTGGTTACATCATCTGAAACATTTTCTCAAATAAAGCCCTGAAGTTTTTCATACACCTTTCCTTTCATATCTTATTGATGCTCGTTTAGGTGCAAAAATCATAAAACCTAAAACCAAAAATATATCAGATGTGGCAAGAACTCCCAATATGAATGCTTAGTAAAAAACTCGCATTGCTTCCAAGAACTCGACCAAAAATATCAATTCACAAACAAAAAAATTCCCCCAAGATGGTTACATTAGAATAGCTAAGAAAGAATAAAAGACTCGTCTAACTTCAAAATAGATAATAAGATGTAGGGAAAGAAACACATATGGGATAGATAAAGACAGAGGAGAAAAACAATTTCTTTTTTTCTTTTTTGAGTAGATCAGTGGGGATTTCAAGCCCCTGAGCAAAAAGAATTTGTGGAAAGAAAAACATAATGGCCGTGAGTGAGTGAGAGGCCGAGAGAGAGAGGAGAAAAAACCTTTTTAATAGGAAAAAGAAAAGACTAGCTTACAAGTGTCTCAGACATCCAAGGAAGAGTTGGGCATTATTAGGGCTGGCAATGTACTTGGACCCGACCCAGGACACGACAGGTATAATCGAATTGGGTCTAAATATGGGTCCAAATTTGAACCCAAGGGTAGGGTCTAAGTCCTACATTGTAAATCCGAAAATCTTCGAGTACGGGTGGATCGACCCTTTACCAAACCAGGACTCGTTATCAATATATAATACTTATAAGTTATCATTTATATAATGGACCCGGTTTCTATGCAACCAAGCCTGTAGAAATGCAGACCTCTTAAAAATCTATTTTTGAGTATGTTTAAGTTACTTTTAAAGGTACATGT